TCTGGTCCAGTCTATGTTTGCGATGGTGACTCCGCCTGGGAACACCAGATGTTCGTGGCATTTTTTTTAAATGGGCTTGAAATTTTGGTTATGCTATTTGTGTATCAATTTTACTATAAATTTCTTGTCCTGACTAATGATCCAATTGAATTTTTATACCTTGAATCAATGAGTAATGTTGTATGTTGATGTGTACTTTTTGTTTATGTCATTGCATGATGTATTATATTTGTTGTTTTTTTTTTTCTTTTCTTGTCTTTTTTTTCCCTTTTCTCTTTTTTTTTCTTTTTTTTTTTTTTTTCGCTTCTTGTTTGGTTCCGGTTCCGGTGTTGTCTTTTTTTTTTTTTGTCTTGATTTTTGTTTTGTTCTGGTTTCTTTTGGTTACAGTTTCTGGTTTTTTTTCTTATCGCTTTGTGCCGGGGAGGGCGCCGAGACGGCCGAGGAGCGGGGGGGGCGGGCGAGACATGCGGAGGGGACAGCGGGGGGGGACGGCGCAGGGGCGAAGGAAAGGGCGAGAGGGGGCAGGGGAGGAGGAGAGAGAGAGGGAAGAGGAGAGAGGACAGAGAAGAGAAGGAGAGAGGAGAGAGAGAGAGAGAGAGAGAAGAGAGAGAGGAGAGAGAGGGAGGAGAGGGAGAGGTAGAGAGAACCGAGATAAAGGAGAACGAGAGAGAGAAGCAGAGAGACGGAGAGAGAGAGGGAGTGTGGGAAAGAGAGAGAGTAGAGAGGAGAGAAGAAGAGGGGGAGAAGACAGAGAGGAGGTCAGAAAGAACTCTCAGCTGAGACTGGAGTAAACATCTTCATTGGCTTTCTGTCTCTGTTCTGCCTCTTCTCATCGTCTGTGTGTGTGTGTGTGTGTGTGTGTGTGTGTGTGTGTGTGTGTGTGTGTGTGTGTGTGTGTCGGGTGGTGTGTGTGTGTCTCCTGTCTGTCTGTTCTGTCTCTGTCCTGTCTGTCTAATTCCTGATCTGTCTGTCTCTCCTCTGTCTCTCTGTCTCTTCTCTCCTCTCTCTCTCCTCTCTTCTCAGATCCCTCTCTTCTCCCTCCCTCCTCCTCTCTCTCTCTCCTCTCTTCTCTCCTCTATTTCTCTCTCTCATCTGCCTGTCTCTGCCTGTCTCACAGTCTCTCTGCCTGCCCCCTTTTGTCTCCCTGTTCTCCGACCTGCCTCCTTTGTCTCCCTGTCTCTCCGCCTCCTCCTTTGTCTCCCTGTCTACTCACGCCTCCCTTTGCCTCCCTGTCTCTCCGGGCCTCCCCTTTGTCCTCCCTGCCTCTGTCCTGATCTTTTTGGCCCTCTCGGCCTCCTTGTTCGTGGTCCTCCTCTGCGTCGGGCGGCGGCCCCGCCCGGCCGCGTGGTTTGCCTCTCGTCCCCCCCTGCTGTTTTTTTATTTTTTCCTTTCCTGCCCTCCCTCCCGCTTGCCCCCTCCGTGTGCCCTGTTCTTCTTTCTGTTCCTTCCGCTACTGTTCGTCTCTGCCCCCCCGCCGTGGGGCTACTACGCCCCCTTGCGGTCCGCCTACTTGCAGTTGGTTCCCCTCCCCGGCCCTCTTTCGTCCCCGGCGCCCGCTTTCTATGCGTTTTGCCAGGGCCCCCGCGTTCGCCCCGCCCGGCCCCCCGCCTTGCCCCCCCGGCGCCTGCGGCCTTCTCGTCGCGCCGTCTCCGGCCCCGGCCGGCTTCTCTTCCCCTCCGGCTCCTCTTCTTTTCCTCTTCTTCCGAGGCATTCTCCCGCACTCCCCCGGCCCTGGTCGCCTTCTCTCCGTTCGGTGTTTTCTCCCCGCTGGTTTTGCCTGTCCCTGCGTTCGCGCCTTGCCCTCGCCCCTCGTCTTTGCGGACTGTTTCCTTATCCTATCGGCTCACTTGTTTTCCCGTCCGGTCGTCTTTTTACTCCCTACCTTCCCCTTCTCTCACTGTCCCCTGGGCCTGTGCCGTCTTGCCTCCCCTTGGCGCTGCCCTTGGGCCTCCTTCTCTGCCCTCTACCTTCTTCTCCCTCTCTGGTTCTCGTTTCCGTCCCGCTGTCCGTTCTTTTTCCCCGTCTCCACTCCTTTTTTTTCCCTCTGTCTCGTCTCCTGCCTTACCTTTCCCTCTTCTTATTTGTTGTAGTCACCTCTTTTACTCCGCTCGGTGTCGCCTGGGGCCGCTCTTTCTCCCCGGCCCCTTCTTGTCCCTCCCTCCCCACCTCCGCCTCCGTGAGCTTTTTTTTTTTGTCCTCGCCCGCCGTCCTCCGTCCGCTGGCGTTAGTGTGCGTGCCTTTCGACCTGTGCCCTTCTGCTCCTTCCTTTCTCGGCTCCCTTCTCTCGTGGCGCTTGCCGGGTTTTCTCGCCCCGCCTCTCGGCCTCTCTTCCTCCCGCTGCCGGCCTGTTCGTGGTCTCTCTGCGCCGGGCCGCGGCTCTCCCAGTTGTGGCCTTGCGCGTTTTGCTGCCTTCTCCATCGGTTTCCCGCTGTCAACCGCGGCGGCTCGCCCCGGCTGGCGTGTTGGCCATCTCCCTCCCTCCGCGTATATTACTTGCCACTTTTGCCCCCAATCCCTTCCTCGCGACCCCCTCCTCCCCCTGTGGCGTTTGATGGTTCTATCGTATGTTGGCGGTATTCCCCCCTCCCCCCCCGCCCTCGGCCTGCGTGTCTCTTCCTCCCTGGCTTTTGCTGGTTTCCCCTGTCCTTCCCCCGCGTTGCCATCCCCCTCTGCTTGTCCTGCCCCTGTCGCTCTCTCGCTCTTCCTTATTGTCTTCTTTGTCTCCTCTGCTGCCTTTCTTCTTCGTCTTTCCCCTGCTTCTCCCCTGCGTGTCCTTCTTTCTGTTTGCTGTGCCTTCCTCCCTCCCTTCTTTTCCTGTTTGTGCATCTGTGCTTTGTCGCCGCCTCTGCGCGTGCTGTTTCCTTCATGGCCTCGCGTCCTGGCTGTGGCTTTCCTTTCTGTCCGTCTTTCCCCTGGGCAGCGGCCTTCTCGTCCTCGTCCTCCTTTTCCCCGTCTCCCGTCCCCTGCCGCTTCCTGCCCTTATCTCAGCTCGGCCATCCCGGCTCCCCCCCTTTCTCCTGTGCATCCTCCCTGTTCTGCTTCACCTCGTTGGTCCTGTGCCCTTTTCCTCTCCGGTCGCCCTTTGTGGTCCTCGTCCGTGTGGCCCTCCGTGGTTTGCCCTGTGTGGGTTGTTGTGCCTGCCGCGTCTTTTTCCTGTCTTTTCCGACCCTCTTTCTCCCCGGCCCCGTTTGTGGCGCCTGCGCTGTTCCCTGGCGTGGGCGCCCTGTTCGTCTTTTCCCCCCTTCGCTTATTGCCCTCTACTTCTCCTCGCTACCGTTTTTTCTTATCATTCGTTGTTCCTTTAGTTTCTCGTTTCCTTCGAGTACTAGCCCTCCCCTTGCCGTTATCTCGGACCTCCGCGTCCTTCCCCGTGTTTTGCGCCCGGTCCTGTCACCCACCGTTTTTTTTTGCCCCTCTTTGTTTCCCCTCCGTCAAACGCCGCTCTTCGAGCTCTCCGGCCACTCTTCCCCTGTTCTGGCCGACGACCCGTTTCCTCCCCGGTTGTACTCGCCGCCGGTCGTGTCAAACCGGACGTGCAAAGCGGCGGTCATTCCATATTAACGCACTGCGTTATGTTCATCCTCATTAAACCCCGCGGGGGCAGTGGCCCGCCTGCCGGCGGTCCTGCACACCGGGCCGCTCCGCGGCCCAGGTGGCGACCGCCCCTCGCCCATGTACGCCTTTTCCCCCCTCCGTTTCGACTCTCGTGCAGCGTCCGCCCTGGCTCGTCTCCGCTCTTATTAGCCGCTGCTCCGCCCGCTCCCTCGCCCACCCCTTTGCTCTTTCTTGCCCCAACCGCCGACAGCGCGACGCTCCTGCCAGCTGTTTCGCCCGTTGACGATTCTGCGCCCTGTTTCTGACGGCCTTGCCCGTAGACACAGAGTACATTTCCGCTGTCGCCGGGCGTGCTCCCGTTACTTTCCTCTTGCTCTGCCGGTTCCTTGTTTGTGTCCTCTGCGCCCTTTCCCGCCCGTCTTCCTCGGCTTCTCCCTACATAAAAGCACGCCTTCCTCCGCCTTTCCCCCGCCCGTCCCCCATCCCCCCCTCCTTTTCGCTTCCCCCCTACTGTCCCCCCACATTCTTCCTTAGCACCCCTCCTTCTCCCCACCCCCCCCTCATCCACGCCCCTGCCGTCCTGCCCTCCTCCGCACCCCGCGAGATGTGATCCCACTCACAACCTTCTCTTTCTCTTCTCTCTCTCTCTCTCTCTCTCTCTCTCTCTCCATCGCTCCTCGCTACGCTCTCTGCCTTTTTGTCTCTCAGTCCCCGCCCCCCGTTGTTCCCCCCCGTCTCACCACTGCCCCTCTCCTCCGTCTTTCCTTTCGCCTCCCCCATTTTACCTCCCCTGCACTGCTTCTGCCTTCCTCCTACTACGACTGCTCCTATTCCCTGTATCTCTCTCTCGCCTTCCTCTCCTCCCCTGACTAGTGACCTCCTCCCTCAACCTCTGACTTTACTCCCCCCACCACTCTGCCTCACTGATACACTCAACATCTGCGTGCCATGTGCCTCCTAATAACCGCTGCAATTTCTTTTCTTGTGCTCTATAGTTTGTGTTCCCTATCCTCTCCATATCAAATGCATAAAATGAAACAATCTCTCTCGTCTCTATCTATATATATCTATATATATTATATATATATATAAATAATATATATATAATTATATAAAGCGATGTACTTTTGAAATTGATAGATGTGCTGAAGTCTTTGTTCATGCACATATAATAACTTACGCACATTGTGAAGGAAGAAGCCGAGTCATAGAAATAACAGAAGTAAAACCGGGTAAAAGCTTATTGCTATAACAACGATACTTTCGCATAGAATGAATTTAAAGTAACTTTTTGTCTCCTAAATGTAGTGTAAAATAGAAATCTGTTATTCTCTAGAAGTTATTAAGGAAGTATAACGTCAGTCTTGATATTTGTATAAAGTTTTGCATCGCGCGTGGTGTCCTCAGTGCGAGCGAGCGTGGGTCGGCTTGAGGCGAAGAAAAGCATACTTTACCTGGCACAGGAGATACCGTGATCACGAAGCGGTTTCTCCTCAGGGCGAGGCTCACCATTGCACTCCGGTGGTGCGCTGACCCTGCGATTAACCCAATGTGGTTTAACTCGAGTGCGCAATTTTTGGTAGCGGGGACTTGCGTTCGCGCTATCTCCCCTTATAACATTTCAGTTTCACAGCAAAGTATTCTAGATCCACCTGTGTAGCTTTCAAATGATTTTGCTACTCTTTGTATTATGGGCTAACCAACCAAGTGAAAGAAAAGTGCTATGAAAACAAAGATGAATTACCTATACAATATAACTTTTAGCAATCGCCCATTCGAGGATATTGATCTTAATTCGTAAAATGTTTAAATATTGAAATGTGAAAGTTAATTTATTTTTCCTAGAATAGCTAGGTACGCCTGGTATTGGCATCCAATATATTATATATACTATTATTGGGCATTTTTAGGTATTCTAAAGGTAAACCCATTCATTATTATTTCATGACAAATTCGAACAGAGCAGTGCACAACTTTTGTATATATACTGATAAGTAATAGTGTTTCATACCATAAACTATCTGACAATCGACCATTTAATGGGAAATTATTAAACAGTTGTAACCGGAAGATATGTGGAAGCGAGAAATTTGTTTAAAATGTACCCATGTATAAACATTTTTCCCCAGGGGTGAAGCTTTTCCTTCTTAGTAGAAGAAAACGACCTTTTGACTTACACATTTATGGAAACAAGATACAAAGATCTGTAATCCGATATTAGCTCTCCAGCTACAGACAAGCAACATTACAAGTACTTAATTTTTATTCAAATCTTCAATATTACAACCAATATCTTTAATTTATGGTATGATCATTTTATCGTAATCAAGACTGTAATAATTATATCAATAAGGACAATAACCGTATATTAAAAAGAGAAATAACGATGATGATAACGATAAAAATACTTGCAATAATCATAACTATAAAAATGTGAAAACTGATAATACAACTCCAACAAATAATGTCAAAAAATAGGCACAAAAAGTCGAAAGCATCTAGTTATGTGATTCAATGATAGGCATCGCTGCTTATGATTAGCTATATAATTTATTTTTTCCTACTACAGTACGGCAACGTGAGATAAAGTTGTATGTGCACAGATTTATAACCATATACTATAATATGTAGCTAATTTTTTCTTCAATTACTTGTACAAGCTGCAGGCTTTACAGTTGCACTGCATACGGCAGGTGCAGATATTTGTTGACAATTGAGTAGAATTACCTATACTCCCGATAACGGTTGGTTATTGATCCTTAGGATCGATAATGGTTGGTTATTGATACTTTGTGGAGCAGATTTCGATGATGTAAGTGGAATGAAGTTTGATATAAGAACAAAGGGTACATTGCATTAACTTGTGTGAATAATCTCTGACATAAAGTTAGGTAATGTTAACATTACCTGTGTCAACGATCATACCACGTTGAAAGCACCGCTTCTCGTCCGATCAGCGAAGTTAAGCAACGTTGGGTCTGGTCAGTACTTGGATGGTGACCGCCTGGGAACACCAGATGTCGTTGGCATTTTATCTTATATGCTAATTTTGCTAGCATTTTATAATTTCTATCATTTCTGTCTGATAGAATCAATTGTTTTATACTTGTCAATAAGTAATAGATGGATGTATGTATGCATGCATGGATGTATATAATGTTTTATGCTTGGATTTATGTATATTATGCATATGTATATTATGCATATGCATATATATGATATAATATATATACTATATATATATAAACTATATATTATATATATTACTATATTCATCTATGTATACTATATAATATATAATATAATATATATTATTGTATATGCAGTATATATGTATGTATATAATATATGTATACCATGTATATATGTATATGCATGTATACATGTATATGTATGCTTATACATGTATTATATGTATATATGTTATGCATATTTACAGTATATACTGCATACACATTTGTATACATATGTATATATGCATACACATTTGTATACATGTATATATGCCATACACATTTGGTTATACATGTATATTATGCATACACATTTGTATACTGTATTATATGCATACATATTTGTATAATGTATATATGCATTACACATTGTATATATGTATATATGCATACACATTTGTATAAATGTATATAATGATACACATTTGTATACATTGTATATATTGCATACCTTTTGTATACATACATATGTATGTATTTTTGGAAATATAGGAATACTCGTTAGTGTAACCATCTGAGCGGAGGAGGACCGCAGCAGGCCGAGTGGTTGAATAGCCGGTCCACAAATGGATTTTTTTTTTAACTAATGAGAATAAAAATATAATTGAAAAATAAGTGTTACATATTGATTATTATATGTTAATTAAGCATATGGCGTATATGAACCCACCGAAGTGGGCTATAGAAAAAATTTGAGTAAGACTCATTGAGTTGTTACCCTCCACGGAAAATCTTTAGTAAAAGCGTTGCGAAAGATTTATGCCTGTTTTGAAGTGAACCGACGGTTAGATAACGAAATGGCAACCAATAATTGCCTTTCAACAAGGCCAGACTGAGGATTCTCATAGTCTCCCGGTGATAGTTACGGGGCAAAGAAAGCCTATTTAAATTAGGTACAATATTTCATCTTATCAAGGCATTATCAAAACGCATAATAGGGAAATGATGTACTATATAGCTTAAGTGTAATACCAAGCATGGTTTTTGATGTAATGA